TTTTTATATATCATCAATATGATTTCACATGCTGTTCGAATTTCTTTGTACATTTTAAGCGTTCTAATAGATGGAATGATCTTATCAATCTATAATGAGCAGCCATCTGATCCTGCAAAGGAGCACAATTGTATACCTGATGAACATTACGTTCAGACATTACTTGCGGTAAGAATTTGTCTGAAGTCTGAACCGCCCCTTGTCTACATTTTTAGTTCTTGAGTTGATATAAAATGTCTCCTTTTACTGGAAAATAATATTCCGAATTGCTACTGAGTCACTACAACTACCAAATATCCAAAGAATGTTAAATTTTTCCGTTCTAGCCTACGTTCCCTTTTGATCAGCGAGCATTTCAATTTTACACGTGAAACTTCTTGAAATGAATTGAAGTGCCAATAATCATACTGGTTTTGTCATTCTTTCTTTTGTTTTTCAAATTATTCTCTCTTTGTAATACCATCTCCTTGAAACTATACAGCAAGAGGGTTTTGAAGGAGAAATAACACGAAGATCGTTAATATATTCTGCATGGGATCTTTCAGCCTCTAAAGATCGTGAACGCCGTGGATGGCATCCGGTGACTTATAAGTTTTCCGATGCCACTCCAGAGCTTATTAAATCTATAAAGGTATCTTTTCCCTTCCTTTGAGCTCCTAGATGGTAATGAATTATAAATCTTCGGCTCTCCACATATTTTATATTCAAAGCTAAAAGATCTAGAATGATATTTGGTAGACAGTTGCATTGGTTCGAAACTAATCAATTTAACTAAAAATCATTCCGATGCATACTCGGACATGGTATGAGGATATGATGCTCCTTCAATCAAAATTACACATACCCTTAACAGATACACCCAAATTTGAGTAGCATAGGTTGTATTTGATGAAATGATCGAATACTTATGTAGGATATTGACAATATTTATTACGAGACTGAAAACCGAAGAGAATGGTGCAGTAGCAAGGGGAAGCCAGCCCCGTGCTTTCTTTTTGCAAGAAAATTCACCAGGCCTGCGGCTCTACACCTTCTAAATTTGGTTAGTTTCAATTTTACACGGCTTTCTTAACATGCCTATATATTCGTATCCAACACTCATCTCATAAAATAGTCTCTTAGAACCAACATATGCTTATATGGTTCTTTTGTTTTTTTTCTTCTGTTGAACAGTCGCTTCTAGGTGCTCGCCGTGGAGCAAAAGGTGAAGCTTAACTGCATAAAGGGTAATATTTTCTATACTTTGTCTAATGTTAGGTAGGTTTTGTCAGGCTTAACATGTATTTTTGCAGTAAAAAATAATGGAGGGTGGTGTTACCCTGTAAATTAGAATGGAAATGAAATCTAAAGTGTGTTGCTTTACAATAAAAATATCATTTTTTTAATGAAAATTAGAATTGTTGTATCGTTGCATTATTTTTTTCATTTATGTTTTTTAATCAATCTTAAGATATGCTATTTGACTCATCAAAAACATATTTTATAAATATATATATATTTTAATAATTTATTGTAAGTAACTATATACAAATTAATAATATTTAAAACATATATCTTTATGCATTTTTAAATTAAGTTTTAAAAAAAAGTTAATCATTAAATTATATATGTACAAATTAATCTATCGCACTCTTAATTTTGTCGTCAATTACTTCAATTTTTTTTTTTGGTTTGTTTAGAAAAAGGTATGACTATTCCGGATCATCGAGTTTTATAGTATAATCTTCTGTTTCATTCCATTGCTGCCACGGCGAAGATGATAAGAGTAACTACTTGCAGTAACGTGTTAAATGAAAACATTAGATTGAAAACCTTTACTAATACACATACACAAATGGAATTGAACGCAAAAAAAGTAAAACCCCAACATAATTACATTCGTCACTCAAAACACATCCACAAATAAACACAAAGTACTACACCATCCATCACCAACACCACTTTATTGTTGCTTATTATATACGTAATTACCCACCTTCAACTTCATGTCCTGGCAGTGGTAACCTGTCCCTCGTGAGCCTTGCTCTCGATCTTCTGCCCCGCTTCCTTTGTCTTTGACCCCACATACCCTGCCATATCCTGCATCCTCCTCCTTGCCTCCTCCAAGTCCATCTGCTCCGTCCCCGTCGCATGCCTCAGCCTGTTCAACACGTAATTCAACGATGACAACCCCGTCAACCCGAATGCTCCGGACGACAAGAACCCCATCACGGCCATCGAAATGACTATGATGGCCGGGACCAGAATCGGGCTGAAGATTAGGAAGAGCGGTGTCGCTAGTAATAGCCCGATAACGGTACCGGCCAGTGTTAGCCCCGATAACGCAAGCAGTGTGCCACTGACGGGGAGAAGTGTGAGGACCGCTAGAACTTGGGAAGTGGCGGTCCACTACTGTGATAGTTCTTCCCAACACCACCGTAACCGACCCCAGCCGAGTTGTCGTAACGGTACTGTGGGTGAACTTGAACCTGCTGAGGCTGGTGGCGGTCACGAATTTCGGCCATTGCTAATAAAAAGATAGCAAAGCTTTATAAAATATATATAGAGAGAGAGTTTGAAAGCGAAAGTGCAAGATGAGATGGAGAGGAATGAGGCAACGGGGGGGGGGGGGGGGTTATGGAGGAAAGGGGAAGTTTAATGAGAAGACACGTAGGGGATGAGATGGCGAGGTGGGGCTTTGCATGGGAAACAAATTGCATTGTGATTCTGTGCCTGAAACTTCAAAGAAAAAAAAAAACCAAAGAGAATCGAATTATGCATGAATCAGACGAATTTAATAATTAAGAAATTTATTATTATTTTTAGAGTTTTAAATTGAGTATCACATATACAAAAATACAAATATTTGTTATCAAAAAATTAAAAAAAAAATTAACATATATTAATTTATATTCGCTCTATATTTATATATAAAAAACTCCACATTCACAAGGCCATTCTGCACAATTGTTGAGTTTTTTTTAAAGGTGCACAAGTGTTGAGTTGTGCTTTCTGGATGGGGACATGTGGGTTTTGCCTTAACTTTAAGTGCCCTTGCCTCGTTCTTTCTAGAATCTGGATTACAAGGAGTGTGTTACTAATACACTTGCTTAACTTGGCTTCAGATTAAATTAATCTAGGTTTTAATCTTTTTCCTAATTAGAATTGTTTAGGATTTGAATATTTTTTTATTTATTATAAATCTGGACAGTTTCTGATTTAAATTATTAATCTCTATGATAAATTAATTGAATTAAATCTTTGAATTTAGATAAAAGTTGACATTTTTAATCCTTAATCATATCATTATATTCATTAACAGATTCAGAAGACCCCTTCACAAACACAAGCAAATCATCAGCAAAGCTGAATTCACTTACACTTGGGGGTGGTATTGAAAAATTTGATAAGCACGAGCAAGATTTAAGAGTCGAGAGAGGACACTCGTTAAAATAATGAATACGTTCCTTGCCTAACGTCTTTAGCTCCTGTAAAAAAAATCAACTAATCTTCCATCAGTGATCACTTGCTGCAAATTAATTTTTCTTTATTCAGTCATCACGTTTTTATTAACAATATTGACATTTGATATGGAGGAATAAATAACGAATGTATTATCTAAAATATAAAACCTAGCAACATTTTTCTATCCTTTCAGCATAATGAGAAAATTCATGTAAATTTTCATAGCTCAACCTTTATTAGAATTTTTGTACCCTTTTAAATCCAAAATAATAAAATCTTGAATATATCTCATATTACTAAGTATTTGACCAACCCTGTGAAACACGTTAATTTTAGTTGAGCCAATACTCATGTCATGAACATACTGATCAATCTCGATTAGGAGTCATATATAATATTATTATTATCATAGTTTTATCTTCGCCAAAAGTAGATAGAAATCCACTGTTATAGTAGTTTTTTACTACTTCAACTTCATCAAATTAAGAGATTCACTAATATGTAGAATTGTTCGTTTGAAAATTAAATAAGAAAATTAGACCTAAATCCCCTTTCTCTTACCTAATATTCATAGTATTGAAATCTGAAATAATTTCTTTTAAGATTATTAAATGATTTATCAAAGATGTATATTCTATTAAACAATGGTAATACAAATATTATTTTAAATATAATTTATTAGTTACGATTTTTAACATGTACAGTTATTTCAACTTCAATCATATCGCGACAATAGTATTTTCAATTGGAAGGCTTTACTAAATTTGGAGTTCATTTGATTATTGAAGCTGAGCTTTGGGTGTCTTTATGAGTTTTGTTTTAGTTTGGTAGGCCGTCCTATTGTGCTCAAAGTTGATAGTTTGGATGTTCTTCGTAACGATTACAATGCTGTTCATCATTTGAGGCGGAATTTAGATGAGCTTAGACAGCGGAATTGGATTGTTAAAGTTCAAGCACATTTTTTGTGATGGAAATAAAATAATCGACGCGCTTGCCAAGAGTTTTAATAATGATAGTTTTGCCTCTGTATTCTTTTCTTCCGACCATGTTAGATAGATTTTTAACGAGACATATGATGATATTTTTAAATGTACGAGGTTTTTCTACTGTTTAATAAAAAAATAAAATCTATTTCATTACGTCTTATAGAATTTCTTCTCAGAAGTCTCCACCAAATTCATTGCATGTTCCAAGTCAAGATCCATTCGTTCTGAATCCCACAATTCTGCAATAAATATACTAATTTAATAATTTACACGGATTAAAAGTTTTTAAATTGACACGGATAGTGTTCTACTAATCCTATTGATCCAATTTCACTAATACCCCTAAGTTGGGGGAGGGGGTCTTGTGTCTCATAAAACAATCCAACTTCATGTACTCACACCAGATCCTGCATTTGTTAATATTTAGGTTAAATTACCATTTAAATAAATTAATTAGCAAAATGAGCAGGTGGTGTCTAACCAATTTACAAAACCTGCATGTCAAAAACTACACCCATCGAACCAAGGTATCAACTTTGAACTTTCCTAAAAGACTAAAAACATTGCTATTTTATACAAAGCCTTTCTACCAAAGTATTTAACGAAATTTACCACCAAAGCTTTCATGGAGCTGCTAGAAAGTAATCCTTTATGGTTTTTCGTTTCAATGAGGAAGGAGGGCTTAAAACTGAAGATGGGCTGTTCTTCATCAAAGCTTCAGGCGTTTTCTCCAAGGTTGTTTCGTTTGAATCTGAAATTGAAAACAACTTTTTCTTATGGGTTTCTGGAGTTGATGGTGGGTTGATTTGGATATGGTACAATGGTTCATCTGAAGAATTTGAGCTGCCTGGTTCTTCCTTCTCATTCATCAGTAATTTTCTACTCTCTGTGCTTGTTCGGATGGAAGATGGTGATCTTGAGCTTGAGCAATGGTTGGCTTGAATGTTCCATATCCTGACAGTGAAATCATCTGCAGTGGTTGCCATCTTCCCGATCTCAGATGGGCACCTGCGAAATACGAAAATAATTTGAAAGATTTGACATTTTAAACCTAGCTAATAGGAATAAGCAATGAGAAGAAGAATAGAAATTATGGTTGCAATAAAAGGAAATTTACCAATCTACAGCAGTAACTTCACCAAGGTGATTCTTCAAGATGATAGGCTCCTCTTGAGGCTTGTTTACCTGGTGTCCATTGGTAACTAAATCATGTTCATGTACCAACACAGAATAAGAACCGTTTGTTTTAGGAATGAAACCAACCTTCCAAATATGAGAATTTCCGTTGCTGGAACCACTTAGTATGTAGTCTGCATCTGGACTGATTGCTGACTGCAATAACATATATGTTCAAGTTTAGGAGAGATTTTCAATCTAACAAAACTAGTGGTGTGATAGAGTTCTATGTTACTCAGATTTGGATGGTGAGTATTGGATATAAGAATGTCTAGCACAATTATGTTCAATTTTTTTCATGCATCTAGAAAGCTCTTGGAGGATCATATCTTAATACTCACAATATATACATACGAAAAGGAAAACGAGAATCCTAGCAATCACATTTATATACCTTCACATAAAAAGACTCTATTTGGCATCCAGAGAAAGTATGCATTGGGCCCTTATCAAGCTGAAGTATATTGTACAAGTATACCCTAGTAAAAAAGGATGGAAATCAGTTACTCAGCAGTAATTAATTAAACATTTTTCTTTAGTGCACGAAATGTTAAGCTCGTTAATACCTATTGTCCATGCATGATGCTGTTAGAAACACTCCTCTTGAGTCCTGGGACAAGCTAGATATACCCTGAAATCAAGGAAAGAGAAGTTTGAAAAAAGGACCATGAGACATCCTTGATATATATGTTGCTAAGATTATTTTTTTTTAAATAACTGTGTTTGAAACTCATCTGACACATTCAGATATGGGTATCAGAATCTGATTATCCAAGAACCCTCCAAATTCGTGTAAAACTTCAAAAAAAAAATGAGCATCCCCATGTGGAATATATAGCTATATCTGACACTAACACCTGAATCTGAGTAACTTAGCTTGATACATCTAACTATAAGTAATGCTATGGATCTCTATCAATACTCTTGCAATCATCACTGGACTATTGAATAGATTGTGGATTCAACAGAATATTCAATTATCTAATAATGGCTTTTATTTCCTAGTAATGAGTAATGACATGGTAAAATAATCATTTCAACATATATAGCAGGAGAGAAAGGGAACCTTTTTAGATGCAGCCTCTGGTTGGGGGCATGCCTGAGTGACATGAGATTTCAGATTCCTTGTATCCCAGAACTTCACAACGCTGAAATAACAAGGATTAGCAGGAGAGGGGATTAAGTCAGCGTGTATTTAGCTTAAGTACTCAAAACTTAGGACCTCACAGGGGATTCTAACTTACCTGTCTGCAGCTCCAGCCGTAGCAATGGAAATGCCATCTTTGAGATAAAGAACTGAAGTAATGCTTGCAACAGCAGCCTGAAAAGATTATAGTATTAAAAAAATGTATACAAAATATTGAAGAAACTTCAGCAGTGAGCAAACCTTGCCACGTCTACCCCGCCTTGCTTGAGATGAAGGATGAGCTCCTTTGACCAGAGTAGTTGGTCTGAATGAAGTGACAATAACAGTAATGAATGGAGTGGTAATCTATGATCAGTGTTGAAAATATAGAAGGCCAAAATATCAATATACATACATACATACGTACATACGTACATACGTACATACGTACATACGTACATACGTACAACTTACGGAAGGCAAACTTCATCACTTCTACTTCGGGAGTTTATCTTGCATCTTAGATCCCAAATGGCAAAGGACCCATCTCTCGAACCAGAGACAAATAGATCTGTTGGAAAATTAATAGTTAGAGGTCATCTCTTTTTTTTTTTGAGGTGAGGGGGGGAGGGGGGATGGTTTCAGGAAACCTTACCAGAATTAGTTGGATGAGAACTCAAACATTTTACACTTCCTGTGTGCAATATTAAGACTCCAGTGCATTTCTTTTCCTGAGCATCCCATACCTTTATCTGCAGAATGTCCAAGAGGACAATCAATTCACTTGCATAGTTGCTTTCATTGTTGCTTTCTCATTGAGTTGAATTACTAAAGCAAAACTTTTTGAAAGAAAGAGTGAACAGCCAAAAATTTATTTTAAAAATATAATTAAAATGAGGGACAAATGCAAAATGTAAAAGAACCAACTGGACAAAGCCATATAAAAACTGTTTTTCATGCATGGCTACTTACAGTTTGATCCCCTGAAGCTGTTAAAATGTGACTATCATCCTGCAAAAAGAATATTCACAAACATTAAGAGAAAAAAAGAAAGGCATGGGGCTTAAAATCATTTACTAGAATTTGCGTGGCAATGCAGGATAGAATTGTATGTAAACTCATTTTTTATTCTGTATCGTGCCACATAGTTCATATTCTTATAATAAATAACTTTCGTTTTCAAAATCTCATGGTAATCAAAATCTTGTGGCTTGATTTATACGGAAGAGAAAAAAATGATTAAATATAGCTATTTTATCCAATCATTTCTCTAACAAATAGTAACAATGATCTCTTCAAGTCCCTTCCGGTAAAACCAAAAATTGCAAAACAATAATTTTCTCAATTCACTGATGATATCCACCACTATTAAATAATGCTTTCCCAACCAGCGCACTCTTTTCAAGCATACACACGAATCTAAAGCCTCGATACAAACTCAAAAATCATTTGAAGGATGAGCACTTGTGTTAAGAGATGCCATTCATCGTAGACATGTCCAGTATCTCCATTGGATATTTCAATTTGTAGCCATAGACTTAAGCTCAATTCAAAAGATTTATTGTGATATTACCTTTATCCAGCATACATCAAATATGGCATTTTCATGAGCAACCCATTCACTGATTCTTGCTTTTTCTGCACAAAATTTATTAGATTATATATATATACATATCAACTGTAATAAAATTGAAAGATTAAAATTGTTATTTTTGGAAGGTAAAACAAAATAGATTTTGACGAAATTAAACAAACTAACCAGTATTTTCCTGGTGAGCTGCAGCGGGAGAAATCTTCCTATTAGAATCAAACAAGCTTACATATCCCAATTCATCAGATACCGCAAAAACATGGGAATTCTTATTTGCCTGTAATTTGGGATTTCATAAATGAGGAGTTTTAAAACAGTAGACCAAACAAAATCAGAGGAAACAGATATGAATTTAAAAAAATATTGATCCTGCCTGTAGAAATAAAAAACTATACTAACATTGTATGGTTGAAAATGGGGGCAGGGGAGAAAAAGAGTACCTTGCAAAAAGAGATGGCCAAAGGAGGTGACGGCTCAGCATCGTGTTCAATGGCAACAGCACAGACTTCATTAAATTCCGAAGCTAATTCATCAATAAATGGTCTTTTTCTAACTGAAAATTAAACAAAAAATATCTTAGATACAGAAATAGAAAAACGCAGATAAAAAGAAGAGAGAGGGAGAATGTGAGTTACCTCGAAATGTACTGAGTTCTCTGTAACTGATGCCATGGAAGCAAGATTCGGATTTGGACGAATCCATTTGCATTTCTCAGAGAGGGGTTTGGAAATCGAAAGAAGAAAATTGAAAATGCTAAAAAAGAAAGAAATGAGAAGCATTTGAGAGGGAAGCCATTGTATATATCATTTGGTTTGGCGCGAGGGGTGTTTGGCTGTTTTGAGATGGCGCGTGAAAACTCAATTTTCTTCTTTTCGCCTGTAACCAGCGGGAATTTTTTTCCAGTGGGTAATTTATACAAATTGTCCCTTGATTATTATTAAATATTTATACTATTAAAAGTTATAAAATGATAATAAACTCTAGAGAGTTATTTTGTTGAATCTATCGACTATTAAATATTACAAAATGATTACTGACTATTAATTTGTTTTAAACTCATCATTTTTCGTTAAAAGTTAACGATTGTCTAAGTTAGACATTAACATGTTGACTGAGATATAATAGTCATTTGAAATTATGAGATCATATTTTATTATATCTTAGTTAGAAGGTTAATACCCAACTCATACTGTTGTTAAATTTTTAACAAAAAATGACGAGTTTGGAATATAATGAATACTCGAGTGACCATTTTGTAACTTTTAATAGTCAAGAGACTTAACAAAGCAACTCTTTATAGTAATTGAACCATTTTGTACTTTTTAATAGTTGGGAGACTTAACAAAACATTATCTTATAGTCAAGGGCCAATTTGTGTATTTACCCTTTTTTATTAAACAAAAATACATCAATTATATATTTAGTCCCTATATTATGTTAATATTTCAAATAGTTTCCTTACTTTATTTTAACCTCTATTCTTTAATGCTATTATGGTTTAAACTATAATAATAATTCATGGATATACCAATTTAAACTAAGGATGGCATTTGGCATTTGGCAATGACAATAGAATGGGGCAGCGACAAATTTTGTTAAATTTACTAATCTATTAGTAATATGTTTTCTCTAAACATTTGTTCTGTCTTGTTTCATTTCGTTTTAATTTAATTTTTAAAAAAATATAAAACTTATTATTTTATCATAAATAATACATTATAATAAATATTTCATATACAAAATAATTTTAAGTATTTTATTTGTTTACCCTTTGAAGTTTGAACAATTATACATAAAGAAAACAATAATTTTACATATCAAGAATGGGATAAAGCAAGTAAATACCCAAATCACTCCATGTACTCCTTTCGGAAAAAATAAATTTATTTTGCTCCGCCCCACATCCACTATTCAAAATATAACAAAATAATCACTCCACTAAAAATAAATTAATACATAATTTATCAAATAATTTGAATCTTTTTACCTCTAATTTATACATACTAATAACATTGAGAAAAAAATAATATAAAGATATTAAAATCATGTACAGCTGTTGATATGGTCAATTTATGGACGTGATTTTTTCAATGAAGCTCTTTTAAGTCTTTTTATCTTTGTTCATATTCAAAAACTCAAAATCATGTTAAAACAAGATACAATTAAAAAATTATTTTCAATTTTTAATAATTCTTATTAAGAATTTAATGAAAAAGAATAAGTTGTATAAGTAAAATTAGAGAATTAAAGAAAAAAGAAAATAAAATTAGATGTGAAGATGTCGTTAACAACAACTAATGATAGTAACTATAATAACAGTGAAATCAAAGTTTAATTATTATATTATAGCTTTTAACGTTTAATGACAAAATTACAAGATACCTAAAAATTTTGGGACCCAGTTATATGGTTTACCCTTAAAACTATTTGGGTCACGTAATTACAATCCGTTTGCAAATAAACCTAAGCCCATGAAACGGGAATCCGACCCGGATCGTCGTCATCGTTCTTAAATTCCTATATTTAGCAAGCGTTAAACCCTAATATTTTTCTTCTGCTTTTTGCGCCACTCCTTTTTTGCGCCTTCTCACTTCTCTGTTTCTCATTTCTCTTTACAATGGGGAAACCAAAGCACTACCGTCCTCCGGCAAGTTATTCATGAACTTTAACATTCAATTTAACAATTTAAAATTTTCAATATTTAGACTTATTCGAGGGATTTTTTCTCACAAGTTATGGCGAAATTTTACAGGGAAAGAAAAAGGAAGGTAATGCTGCGAGATATGTGACGAGGTCACAAGCTATTAAAATCCTTCAAGTTAGCCTATCGGATTTCAGGTCCATATCTTGTATTCCACTTTTAATTTTTTAATTTTTCAGCTTCCTTTATTTACATTCTATAATCACATTTTCTTATTATCTATAGCTTCTTAGATTAAGTAGCTAAGAAATCGGAACTATTGAGCTTCGTTAGCTGGGATTAGTTTATCAGGTAGCCTTTGGTTGCTAGTTCCGCTACCTGTCTTTCGCTGACTGAAGCGAGAAGTAGTATGTTTGAAAATATTTTAGAAGTTTTAACCTTATTGATATGATTATACTTCAGTATGAATTTATTACTTTGTTTTATTGTATGCTATATTTTTAGCTTTTTGTAATTGAAAATGCTTTTCTTTTTATCCAACTTAGACGATGTAGTAAGAAAATAGCAAAAAAGCATCAATCACATGGAACATTTATGGAATAAGAGTAGATATGGAGTTATTTTGGTGGAAGTGTATTATTTTGCCTTTGAATATGGCTGGCTTCATTCTGTTTTAATAGATTCAATATTGCAGGAAGTTATGCATTCACAAAGGAGTCTTCCCGAGGGAGCCAAAGAAGAAGGTGAAAGGAAACCATCACACTTACTATCACTTGAAGGATGTCATGTACATTCTTCATGATCCGCTACTGGAGAAGTTTAGAGAAATAAGGGCATATAAAAAGAAGATAAAGAAAGCTAAGGCTAAAAAAAATGACGAGCTAGCAAAGCTTCTTTCATCTCGTGCACCTTCTTACAAGCTTGACATGGTCATCCGCGATAGGTTTTTTAAACAATCTTTGATCTTTTTATTTCCCATCATTTGTAAATATATGGATTCTTGAGAATTTAAGTTCTAAGATATGCTTGATATTTTAGGTATCCCACGTTTATTGATGCACTTAGAGATTTGGATGATCCTCTTACAATGGTGCACCTCTTTGCAATGTTGCCTGCCATTGATAGACTTAAAATTGAAGTAAAGCGCATCCATAATTGTCGAAGGTTAGCATTTTTTTAAGTGAGAAAGAAGACAAGACCATATAGGTTTATTGTTACCTTCTATAATCTTACCAGTTGCACCCCTTGTCTTGCTATTCTTGGTCCTTTGTCAGGTTGTGTCATGAATGGCAAGCTTACATTTCTCGTACCCATAAATTACGAAAGGTTTTTGTGGCTGTAAAGGGTATATATTACCAGGTACTACACCATTATGTTGTTAATTATGTTTTTGGTTTGCTATAAGACTGTTTCTTTCTAATGTTGCTGTTATGCATGTTGCTTAAGATTACCCTATTTCCTGTGCAGGCTGAGATTGATGGTCAAAAAATCACATGGTTAGTGCCGCATGCACGGCAACAAGTATTGACTGATGACATTGACTTCAATGTCATGTTAACATTTTTGGAATTTTATGAGGTTAGATCTCTCTCTCTTCATCCAAGTTTGTATCTAAACAGATACAGGGTCTTTTATTATTGATTTATGGTCAGGAAGGTGGAAAGTGTGCCATAATGTCTGAGAAACCCGGGTAAAATAAACTTTAGTCAAGCATAAATAGAGGAGCTGTTTCTTTTTATTATTTTTAAAGTCTTCCTCCAATATTACCTTGCTACTTTCATAATTAAGTTTCTGTAAATTGTTTCAAGCTACTTTATCCCCAAATATGTTATCTGCTAGTTTCTTCCTTGATGGCATTTATTTATTTTGGGCGCAGACGCTTCTTGGCTTTGTCAATTTTCAACTTTATCATTCCATAAATGTGAAGTATCCTCCTATTCTGGATCCTCGGTTGGAAGCTCTTGCTGCAGGTTTACTTTGTTGCTTAATGTTTTGTAATAAAACTTGCAAGTTCTTTCTAAATTATGCATTTTTAAGTGGTGTCTACCAACAACTGGCTGTCAATGATAGTGTGTTCTAGCTACTTCATATCAAGTTATTTTAGAGTGACCAGTAGCTAATTCTTAAGTTTACAAAAGTGGAGAAATGGAGAGAGTGAGAGAGCGAGAGTCCAAGTTTTCTGATGGAAAAGTGAGTGAGGTCCATGGAGGGGGTACTTGGTCTGCGTTTGTTGATAATCTTAGTCGGAGAGTGAGCAGAAGAACATTAGGAGAACTTTTTAGTTATCATGGCAAAGTCATTAGGGTGTTCATTCCATTTATCAATAACAGACCGAAATATAAGGATTGCACGTTTGCGTTCGTTCACTTTGCAAGCAAGGAGGATCTATGCAATGCGGTGGAGAAGACGAATAATGTCAGGGTTGATGGGAAGATAATTTATGTGTCAGTAGCTAAATATGACAAGCTATCTGAGATGAAGAGTCGTGAAGGGTTTAGAGCGGGGGTTCCAAAAGGGTAGAAACAAGTGAGTTGAAAGGCAGAAGAATGATCTCTCCAGCACAATTGGCATAGCAAATGGAGAGGATGAATAGGTTCCTTGATGGAAGAACGTATAGAGACACGGTAGTTGGGGTGAAAAAGTTCCAGAGGGCCTTCAAGTAAGCAGTCAAGGGGATAAAAAAGAGGAGAATAAATCTTTGGAAGTCTTTATCCCAGTGGAAGAGAGAATATGGTTGAAATCTTCTTCACTTACTGGCATTTGTAAAGATATCTTTGAAGTTGATTTTGTGCAGAAAGCCTTACGGAACGAGGGCTTCAAGGCGAAAGTGATAAGGTGGGGTTTTGCAAAGAATGCGTGTCTTGTAGTTTTTCAGTCGGTCGAGGAGAGAAGAATTGCAATGGAAGAAAGATGGGAAGCTCTGTCGTTTTGGTTTCAATTATTGGATCCGGTTGTGGACGAGGGGGGCATCCATTAGCTTATTGTGCGATTTCAATGGTTGGTGTTCCATTAAATTGTTGGTCGGTCCCGTTCTTTTCTAGTTTAGCATCCAGATGGGGCAAGTTTGTTAGAATTCAAGATCAAACTGCACATAGAGTGGATTGCAG